ATACAAATTTCATCTAACAAAAAGAAAATTAAAAATCTTAAATTCATTTTTTAACCAATAATGTGGTCACTAAAAGTGATTCATGTAAGTACTCAATAAAAATAAAATGTAACAAATTAAAGAAATATTTTTTTTTTACATATAATAATAATAATATGCATAATATGTTGAATAACACATTTTTTTTCTTTTATTTTACCAAAATAAATATTACAAATTTCACTCTTAATTAAAAAAAATATACTCTTGTGAATAAAAAATTTACCCTCTTTCATCCATAATGTAAATAAGATAATTCTTTTTCTAAATTTATACAAAAATATACTCTTGTAAGGGATCAATTTGTAAAATAAAATTAATTTTAGAAAAATAGATTACATTTCCTTTTTCTAATTAAAAATAAATAAAGAAATTTTAGGCCCTCCTTTTTTAATGAGGCAGACAGACCAACTTGTTGCGGGCCCCACAGCACACTCCCACTTGCTGGGTCTTTGTACAATGGATGATAAATCGCCACGTGTCAACAATGTCACGTGCCTTTGCGGCCCGCAACAGCAAAATCGCGGCGCCAACTTGATAGAAGATTTACACGTGTTGCTCGCCGACAGGACCGGCCTAGGAAGACAAGGGCCCACAAATAACGTCATCGCATCCCATACATCATATATCTAAATAAAGTGGATGACAGCCACGTGTCAACGAAGACAAAATCCGTTATGGTCCCCACATACTTCATCATTTATAGTAAAATATACATTTTTTTTGAGACATTTGGTTTAGGGGTGCACAACTTGGATCTGATCAGAAAAAATTTTGGTTCGAATTAACTCGTTTGAAAAACAGATCAGAATCGGGTTGACCCAACAACGAACCGTTTAACTTGGATCCCACACGACCTAATCGAGTTTTGCTAGGTGTGAGCTCCTGCGGGTGCGGCCCTGCCTAGCAGTCCTGATGCTCTTGCCTCTCGAGTCTCATGCTGGAGCTCCGTCGGCTCAGGTAAACTGGTCAAGCCTTCCTCACTCTGACTATGTTGTTCGCCGACTCTGCCGATCAGCATGAATCCTTGGTTAAACCCCGCCTAAATCCGACTCCACCGGCAAGCCCTATGCGTGATGACGTGACTCAGCATTCAACAATTGCACTCGCGGGTTTGCAGGTCGGGTCAGATCAACCCGGCAACTCCTGTCAGTCAAGTCCGGGTTAGAAATTCAAACCCCTTTAGCTATAAGTGTCGGGTCAACCCGTTTTTACCTATCTCAAGTCAGGTTCGATCCGAATCCGACACGTTGACCCGAATTGACACCTCTAATTTGGGTCACTTAAATCAAATTCATACACATCACAACTCTTAATTGATAATCAAAGCTACCAAACAACAAACTAAAGTGAGCTACATTTATAGAAAAATGAGAGTTTATATGCCCAATATTTTTTCGTCTTCAAATTAAAAAACTAGTAGAATTTGAATAAACATATTAAGGTATTAAATTGGACCTATTTTTTTGTGCTTTGTTCTATGGCGATTTTTGTTCAAAAATTATTTGATAGAGGTATAAGCTTCAATGTTATATTTTCGTCTCTGGCGCTGAAGTTAGTGATAATATAAATTTGCCAAAGTTTTCAGGAATGAGATTAGATATGTTTTAATGTCATTCTAACATTAATTGAAAAATGTTTTCATGTGATTGAGCATTGTTCAAAGCTAGTTTGTATTTTGAAATATTGGGTCTATTGTTTAGATTGATGGTGAAATAGATGGAGATATTATTAGTAGAATTCAAGTTGAATGGTTGAAGTGGAAGAATGCATCGAGCTTGTTTTGTCACACTCCAGAATATTTTCATATTTTTTAAGAAAAAATTATTTCGCATGTTTGAATTATTACATGTTATGTGATATAAAAGTCCTCAAACTTAAGGAAAATTTCTATAAGATTTAGACCTACAATGCTTTATGGTGCAAAATGTTGCCCATTAAAAGAGAAGCATAATGTTGTTAAGTGTTGCAAAGATGAGCATGCAAAGATGAGGATGCTCAGGTGGATGAGTGACTTTACTCTTAGAGATGATACAAAATGAGTATATATATGAAAATGTAGGAGTAATTCCAATGAAAGATAAGATCAGAGAGAGTAACCTTAGATGATTTTATCTCATAAAATAACAACATTTTGATAACCCAATTAGGAAAATATATGTATTAGATTTGACTTATGTTTAGAAAAATAAAGATAGCCTAAAAAATCTTTGTTATAACATATTAAAATTGAAATTTATTTATTCAATTTAGATGAGAATTTGACTCTTAACATAACACATTTAAATTTTCTTATGCATGCAGATGCATATTATGTTAACATATAAAGCTCGGGGAATAACAGAAAATTATGAGGCATTTTGTGCCATCAAGCACAATCCAATAGAAAATCCATCAGGAAACCATAAAAACAATTTTTCCAATTAAAAATATGTGAAATTATCCAAATTGTATTATATTGATGCTTCATCTAAAAGAAATAATGCATTGAAAGACGCGCCTAAATAAATAACATTTGATTTGTTTTGATTATTAACATTTTGCAAAAACAAGTTCTAATATCATTAAAATATTTTGAGGAGAAAATTTCAAAGAATAAAAAATATTAAAATTCTAATATCATTAAAAACTTAAATGTTTAAAGAATATTTTATAATCATAAGAATCCTATGAAAATTTTGAAAAGTATCACTAAGATAACCAAAAGGACACTCAAATATATAAACATCAATGCATATTTAGAGCTAGGAGCAAGAGTTAGGAGTGAAGCCTATACATGGCTTTGCCTAAGTCGCCACTTGGACCACTATTGGTCAAATATCATACAACGTCGATGCATGTCATCTACACGTCAATGCAAATAATGGAGACTAACATCACCGCACATCATTACCGATAAGTCAAATGCTTATTTTCAACATCAATGTCAATACACATCAACACCAACAATGTTAGTGCACGCCAAAAAATCATTATTAACATGAACTACAACATTTTCAATAAGATCGACGAATTCCTTTCACACTAACATCATCAACCCCAAAACACCTCTAACAAGTTTGATGCATGCCATCAATATCAATGTCCGCTAATGTCCCTGCTAACAAAGCTAACTTCCATTATCAACATCAACACTAATGCTCATACCCGACATGAACATCAAAAGCTTATGTTGTACACCTCATTTACTTGTCTCATCTATTCTATATAAAACTACCAAGCAGACTACCAATAACCTCTCATTAAAATTTTCATCATATAAATAATCCTTCACAACTTATGTCTAGTATATTATATCAATCTCTCCCTCAAAAGAAAAAAAAAACATGATTTGTAATCAATAAATTTACAAAGATGATTTAGTAACAAATGCTGGAAAACAAAAAAGAAAAAGCAAAACCAACCTAAACTGAGTTTTTTTTCTTTTTTTTTTCATAAACAATGACATAAATTCTTGTACCAGGCAAAAATGACGGATTTCTGAACCACAAACTTCAACAGCTAACCTCACTAAAAGAGTATATTGCTCTCCAAAGACTAAAAGAGGACAAAGAATTAAGCCATTGTCATTTCCAGTCCACATAGAATGGATAAGTCTCTCTAATAATAATTACCTGTTAAGCTGAAACAGCAGTTTGATTTGCTATGGCAGGACGGAATATCCTGCCATTTCCATTCTGGAAGGGCCTCTGCTGAAAGCCATTGATCGGACGGCCAAGACCGCCACGGCCGCGACCCGAATACTCACTTCTGTTGCGAAATTCAGGTCTGCCATAGCCCTGGTTGCCTCCATAGCCTCCCCGACCTCTGAAATTATCATTCCGGTAGCCTCCTCTTCCTGCTAGATACCTCCCCCTCCCACCATTGGTAACTACGCCGTTCACCACTGAGAATTTAAAATCAATACAAGGCATGTTAACATTAATAGAATTTTGTTACTAGTGACAATTTCATTCAGGTCCATCACAGGATTTAGAGACTGACATAGACAAAGAAAAATTTGGTGTTTAAGTGGTTTATAAGCTATTGCTCCTTGTTATGAAGGTAAAATGTCTGAACTAATAAGAAAGGTAACATTCAAATGCATAGCAAGAGCAGCAAATGTTAACAGTAAGTGGAGGCATAAGGAGTTTCAGAACACACAATATAAACTATGACCTATCATAAGAGGAACGATGACCACATGACACTATGTTAGACCGGTCCATTGGACTGGTCCAACCGGTCCGCACGGGACCGGCCCAGTGCAACAAAGGTGGGATCTCCGCCTCCTGCCTAGATCGGGCGATCCAAACGCTCAAATTGAGCAATTTAGGAATGATTTTGGAGGGATTTGGGAGGGAATTTTGAATGTAGGGACTGTTTAGAAATTTCATTTTGAATTGTATGCATTAAATAATTTGTTTTCCTATGGTTATGGCATCTTGAATTTGGCTGAAATGTGAGATCACTTAGATTTAGGTTTTCTTTTGAGCTCTAGTGGCATCTAGAGATTTGAGTGAGATCGATCCTCCTCTCGAATTGAGAATCAATTGTATCTTGTTATTTTCCGCTTCTATTTCATCAAATAATACAAATTATATACTGCTTTCATGGTTTTGTGCGGATTTTTGTGAAGAAGCTCGCTGTTTTTCGAAGATTGATAGGAAATACTCGAGATCATCAAGTAATTTCCTATCACACTACTAACAATTTTTGTTCTCCGACTATCTAATCTCCAAACAACTTATAAATAAGTTTAACCAACAGTTTAACTGTAAGGTTAAAACACAATGCAAAAATTAGAATGCGCCTACAAGGTTGCAGGTAGAACAAACTTCAAGAAGAAACAAACTGAAGTATGACATTTCTAGCATATAATAACAAGAAAAGTAAGCGGCATTAGCAAAATAATTACGAAAAAAGGAAAGTGTGACAATCTTTTACAGTTAGTTGCAAATTAAATGAAGGCTGTCGCGACACTTTCTTAAGCCAACTGCAGCAGGGATTATAGGCCAATTACTTCGCCAAAAAAGAAACAACAAAAGCAATGAAGACAATCACTTCCATAGTACAGTACACAAAGAAATTGTAAGGTCGTATAGACTTGCCTCGTGTTGTAGTCCTCTTCTCCTCAACGAAAGCTTGACGACCTCCAATAGTGATGGGAGAAGACTGAAAAATTGTAGCCATAATACAAATATTATTAGCAGTACTATTTTTGATGCACCAATGGCTATCTGCATCATTCTTTCAGCATGTAAGCATATTCAGAAACAAGCAAATAAATTAAATAAATAAAAACTAAAGCATTATTCATAATGACAACCTTAGTTAATTAGCACATAGATCCAACCAAAATAAAGTTGCCAGCAGCATATAGGAAAACCAACAAGGTTTTGAAAAACTGTGACAGTAGCATTTAAGAAAAAGACATCAAATCAATCATTACTGTCATCATTAGCCTTACCCAAACATTAGTGTGGTTCGATGTTTTAAACCAATTCTTCAACTTAGCAAATCCTTTGAACTTCAACTAACGTAAAGTTTGGTAAATTAATTCTCTGACACTAATTTTATCTACTCATTAAATAAGTATATTTTCCATATATATATATATATATATATATATATATATATATAAGTCCAAATCACCGAATTTTCAATTCAATAGAAGTGACTCCATTAGTCCCTACAACTTAATCTTAAATTTATCCTTCAGATTGTCACACACCAATCTTAATATTCTTATTTCTACCACATAAAATTTTGATAACAATGAATTTTTTAATGTCCAACATTTGGACCCTGCATCCAACCAAGGAAAAATGCCACACATTTTTTTTTTAATAAATATCAATTATTGTCGTGGTAAAAAAACTGAGATTTCTTATAGCCCATAATGTTGAATAAACGGGTCGAAACAGCAAATTTCAATGCCCCAAACTACACATCAGTATGTGCTTAGATTCCAATGCTGCCCATAAAGGTCAAATAATAACTTATCAGTAACAAAGTATCTGTTTTCAACAAGAGTTTAGAAATGGAAGTTCACTCACCATGGAACAAGAATTCAAATAATAAGTACAAATTGACAAGTAACATAAATAGGAAAGGTATAAGATAAAAAACAGTGAAGGCTGGAGAAAAATCCAGCCGAGAGAGGCAGTCTTTAGGAGCTTTGGGAAACCAAGAGAACGCTTCACTTTTCTTCAGATTTTCCAGCAGTATCAAAATATTTTGCATGATTAAGATGCAAACGACAGAATAACATGAAATAATCGAAATATAAGCATTACATTATTCCAAATTTGAATAGAGAGCTTCAACGTGACTCATGCAATGAACAATCAGCAAAGGCCAAAACCAAACTTACTGAAATCCTAAGAAAAATTGCGAGGGAATAAGTTGATTACCTTGATTGCCGCTTGCATGGAATCCAACGATTCAAACTCAACAAAGCCAAAACAAAACCGTTCCACCTGAAAGACAGATACCATGAAAAGATATATCAACTGAGCTGAAATCATTGCATATTGCAACAACAAAAAAAAGAGCAAACCTTGTGGTTTCTAACTTGGACACCACCAGGTCTGATTGGTCCAAATTTCTTAAACTCCACCTCAACCTCTTCAGGTGTTGTGCTCAAGGGTAAATTTCTAATATATATGGAATGTCCCTCAACTGCTAGTAACAAAAAGAAAGTGAAAACAAAAACAAAAAGAGAATAGTGGCAATATTCTGAAAAACGTGGAGTCTAAGAATTATGGTTATAAGCATTACCATCATTTGAATTGTTTTCAGGAACATTGTCAACAGTACTAACTGTGGTTTCAGATGTAATGGAAGGCTTCGAGGAAGGAGTAGGGTGTTTGTCAGGGTTTACTGCGTCAACTTTTGGAGCTGCTTTTGGCAAGGAAACTTTTGGTTTAGAAACAGTAGAATTCAGCGTTGATGATTTGCTGACCTTGTAAACCTTGACCTGTAGACCATTTAACACAATGGAGTAGGTTTCAGAATCATTTCCACAATGTGTACTGTTTCTGACTTGTAAATTATAATTAAAATAAAAATCATTCTAGCAATACATGTGAAGCTGTAGAAAATCATTCCCGTTATATAAGACGATCATTCCCTTTCATATTCAAAATGTATTCACATAGCAACTGTTTCATTTACTCACAATGGATGCATAAGACTTCTTAGGCTCATCCTCTTGAGAGACAGAAACAGCAACTTCAGAAACTGGTTGGTCATCAGATTGACCCACATGGACCTCTGGATCTGCAGCAACCACAATTGATGCTTCTGGAGGATCATGTTCCACAGGTTTAATAACTTCCTCACCATTATCAATATCTTCCACAGCGTGCAAAGTTTCGAGTTCAACTGAAGTGGCCACTTGAGGCTCCTGAACCAAGGTTGGCTCTAGCAAAACAATAGAATAAACATACATAAATTCTCAAAAAAAAAAAAAAAAAAAAAAAAAAAAAAAAAAAAAAAAAAAAAAAAAAAAAAAAAAAAGAAGAGAGAACAGAATGATACGAGTAAAATATTTGCATAGAAAAAAGGGGCTGAAATAAAAAGGCAATTAGCGCATGAGTGATACCTAGTTCGGGGGTCAAAGCTTCTGCTGAATCACCATTTGCCCCATTAACTATAACTTGATTCGCACCCCTTGCTTGGCTTGGGTCCACGAATCTAAAAATATCATTTAGGACAACATAACCACCTTTCTCCTGTGGAGCTAGGAAAAATGACTGGATAAATTTGCGCCTGACATTATCCCTTCCTGTCAAGGAACCAGTCACAACAACCAGTACACCATCCTTGTATGATGCCTGAGAGTCTGCAGACTCTATCTCTGCAGTATAGTCACTGAAATCCATTGACAAAACCTTGTCGTTGATGTCCTGCTCCAGTGCAAACGAAAGCAGAATAAGCATTCATCGAAAAATCTATGTACAACTTCAAAGAAAATAAAGAAAAGAGTACGGCTCTACTTCGTTTAATGTAAGAACTCACAACTTCTAAATAAATTCATAACTAAAATAAGTACTTGTTATCCATTAAGCATCATTTTTGCCATTATCATATTGCAAAGCATGTGTGTGTGTAGAAACATATACTCCTAACAAACAAACTAATAAGGAGAAAATAAAGGAACATTCATACTTGCATTGTTGTCACCGATGTCATCATCCCATTTGAATCCGGACGACTCAAGATGCTTGAATCCTGATAAAATCTATGTACCTGATCAGGAGATTTATGAAGAACAAAATAATATTGTTGAACAAAGGCACCCCCAACCTGCATAAGCATTTTTTTAAATAATTATCAATCAAAAAAATTCATGACTCTTAATCATGTAGCAGCTTCTGTGTTGAGACAAATCAAAATGTGTAATTTACCACTTGCGGACTTGGTTGAGCTGCAGCTGGCAATGCCATATCTGCAATTAAACAAGATAATCAGTATCAACAAGAAAATAAAACCCTAAAAATATATGAAATGGTTTTTCTGTTCCAAGTTCATCATTGCAATAAAAGCAAGATTTTAAAAAATACATGTAACAAAAGAATTCATAACCACCATAAGTATATCTGATACCAATGGCCGAGGAATCATTAAGATTTAATACGAAATATAACTGAAGCATTTCTTTTTAAGAAAAACAAATAGAATATCATAATCATTAGTCAATCATATCCCAACTATTTGGTATTTACTACATGAATCTTTATATTATACTCATTCCTAATTAGTGTTGACTGAGGAATTAAACAAATTCTTCGCAATTTTTTTTTATTTCCATATCCAAAAAATTATTTCAATTACCTTATCTTCAATGTATATCACTCTAATTGTTCACATAATACAATCACGTCAACTCAAAAAAATTCTCACCCAACTATTATATAAGAGTGTTTAAATTTTGACTTTCAGGAGGCATAATGGATTAGACAAAATATTAAGATTTCACCATTATAGAAGACTTTATATTTCTAGTTAGAGGTATTGCATGGGCGCAAAGCTCCATAGTTAATTATTCCTCCCGATTCCTCTGGATTTCAAGAAAAAATTTTAGATTAAAGCTAGTTTATAAGCTCTATGATGATTTCTTATGATGGCTTCTTATTGGTACAGGCCAAGAGTGATTTGGATTAGGGAAAGAAAGATATTTTGCTATTGGCTCAAAGTGGATAGTGGATTAATGATGACAAGCACAAATAATATATCATGATTTCTTCATCTTTTGTCAGCATGGACATGGGATGTTAAGAACCTTGGTATTACTTACCAATAGCCAAAATGCCCATCATAAGGGTTGAAATTATCTTTGAGTATTTTACTTTGTAATGAAAAGCTTAATTTTGATGGTGAACAACCCACCATAAGAGTTGAAATTTTTAAATAAGGAGCAATTACTAGTATTATTTTATTTCAAAAAATTATAAAAGGCTAGCATAATTGGGCTTGTTAGAAAACACTATTATTATTGAATGGGAGACCACCATACATAACAATCCTTTCGCTTGTTAGTGAGGAAGATTGGCAACAAATTGTCACCCCAACTCAAACAACCATCTTTATTGAAATCAAACTTAAGTTGGTGAACTGGTTATCCTCTCTCTTTTTCAACTTGATTTGCAAAATCTTCAAAAGCTTCGTCCTCGGTAGCTATCAAAGTTTTCTAACTTGTTAAAGAAATTGAAAATCGAGGGATAAACATCATAAGAACCCCAATTTCATAGCATTAGAACTAAGAGATATAATGTATAAGGAACATTAATAGCAGAGAACTTTCTAGACCCCTCTAATAATGGACCCTACTTGTAATGCTAAATTAGTGTAAAAGTGGGCATGACTTTGATGTAGGAACGGGGGGGGTTCTTCCCCCTTTTTCTTTCTCTGAGGCCCTTCGGTTTCCCCTTGTTGGCTCCTCTTCCCATGACTAATTCCTCCCCTTTTTTGGCTGCCTGTTCTGATTCATGAGCCCATTCCTTCCCCCTTGACTTCCTGTTCTGTTCCCTTTACCTGCATGTTTTTCCCTGTCTGGTTGCCTGTTCTGGTTCCCCTAGCTGCCTTTTTCGATTTTCTATGTGGCTCTTTGAGTGTTGTTTCTGGAAAGCCTTTTGGCCTTCTATTTCCCATAATTTAATAGGTTTAATTAGTGGTTATGGTGGCTGTTTGGCGGCACCCTTTTCCCCAATATATATGAAGTGTTTTGTGAATTAAAAAAAGAGAGTTTATGGAGAGATTATGTGGTATTTTTGGAAGCTAAAAACCCGAGGGTTTCTTCTCTCTTTGGAAAAGCTTACGAGCTTGTTCCATTCTTCTCTTCTTCTTCTAGAAAAGCTTGCGAGCTTGTCCTCTCCTTCGTCTCGGCTTCTAACCTCTTTCTTCTCTCCTCAAGTTTGACACCGCCTGTATCTTTCTTCTCGACGAATGAAATGCAAGATTAGGTTTTTATTATATAAGTTTGTAATTTTCATTTCAAGTTGTCAAAGTTATGATGTGTCTTTCGATTTAAAGTTGTAAACGACCTTTTATTCTATAAACGGTGTATTTTTTTAGTATTTTCTTACTTCTTAGGAAATCTTGTAATATGCTTGCAAAATTTGGGGTCTTCCTGATTTCTTGCTTGCATCAATTTGGTATCAGAGCCTAGGTTGGTAAATCCTAAGTTTATGAGTCGTGCTGTCATTTGAGTCTTGGTGTCATGAGAGTTATTAAGTTTTTGGTTATTGTAAGTTTTCATATGTTTTGAGTCTAAATGTATAGTCCATACAATCATCCTTCAGAAGCCTCATGTCAAGATTCGAATGAGTCCCAAAGAAAATTTGACCCTGTCAAATTTAAAAATCAACCACCTATTCAGGATGTGAAGATGGCAACTGTAGAAGGGATTCCATCGCAAGGAAATTCTACAAATCCCCTACAAAATGAGTTGTATAAAATTCAATATCAAATATACTTGTGTACGAAGAAATTCGAGAAGATTAAAAAATTTTTGCAAGCCCAATTTAGGCAAGAAAGAGAGATGATTCAGAAAAAAATATACAGCTATGACTCAAGAGCTTGATGCGGCACCTTCGTCTCGTTAGGAACATACTCAAGTAATCTCATCAGGAGATGAGGATTCTCAACCAGGGGAGAATTGATGTAGGTAAATGGGGGTCGAAATATTTTGGTTTTTAATTTTGGTGAGTTTGTTTTTTTCCTCTTATAAAAATCAACTCATATTTGTCTTTAGGACTACCTTTTTGAGTATTTTCTTACTTCTTAGGAAATCTTGTAATATGCTTGCAAAAATTGTGGTCTTCCTAATTTCTAGCTTGCACCATACTTGTACCCAATTAATCTCAGAATCATAGCTCGAAGGGCTGGAATCATGGTTTTAAAAACTGGACTGGACCGGCCGGTTCAACCGTGAACCGGCTGGCAGGTCGGTTTTATTATCCCTTATAACCGACTTCGAATCGAATCGGACAAAAACCATCCAACTGGCCGATCAAACCGGGAACTGGCGCTGATTTTAACGAACCGTCCGGCTAAAAAAAAGGCAGATGTGAGTCGTTTATTTAGATCCAGCGGCTAATGAGTAAACGCAGAAAAGAAAAAAAACCTAATAACTTTCAATTCCCTCTAGACTGCAATTCATTTCGCTTGCTCCTTGTGTCCCGTTCGTCTCTAGCAGCCCGTCTCCAACATAATCATCAAAGTCGTTCGCGAACTCGACAACGACATCATCCTGGTCGTCTGAGGCGTCATCCTTACTTTTTCTCCTCGTATTAACCATGGATGTAAGTTTTTTTAAACCCTAAAATCTTTTATTCTTATCAAATCTTTGGTTTTCTGCTGAATAGATTATAGATTGTTAGATCTGACCAAAAAAAAATTAAAATGTGACGAAGGCTGATCACGTTGTTTCTATTTTCATTCTCGATATAGGGTTTGATGCAAAGCATAAATAAATGAAAGTTATTTTTTCTTTCCTTTGAACTCATTATTGCCTTTAAGCTTTCAGATGAATCATGTTAAATTACTCATTTACTTGCCTTTATGATCATGTTGTTTCGACTTTCATTTTCAATATAGGGCTTTGATGCAGAGCATAAATGCCTAAAGTTTTATTTGGATATTTTTTGCAGGGTGTTAATACACAAATGAGATTTCAACCACGTCTCGGTCGATATCTTGCAGCTGCGGCAAAGAACTATGGTTTCAACTATGAATTGCTGGTACTCATCATTGAACTGAGGTATGCATTCGTTTGTATTATATGTTTACTTATTAGTTTATATTTTATTGATTTTGTTGTAGTATTATTAATTTGTTTTGAGTTGTTACATATGCTTAATGAAAGCCAAAATAGTGGCATATGAATCATAGGATGTTAAATGGACATAGAGATGAAGCTAATTTATTAAATTTTTAATAATATTATTATTTATTACGTCATCCGATCCAACCCCGGTTGGACCGGTCGAACCGTGAATCTCTGCTTTGTCTGGTTCGTTGTCCGATCCGATTTTTACAACCATGGCTGGAATAATCTTAATTTGACGAGCAAAAACCCAAGGTTACACATTTTTCTTAATTTTAAAGACTTGATGGGTTGGCATATAAATTGACATGACAGATGTCTACACTAATTTGGTATAAAACATTCATTGAGTACTTGAAATTGAAGAACAATTAAGGCTTCCTAAAAACTCAATCCGCCTAAAAAAATGATTAATAAGAGGTATAGCGTAAAGAAATATTTGGTTGTTGACTACAAAGTTGATACATTAAAAATTTGTCCAAGTGGGCGATTAATTTAAATTATGTAACCAAAACTTTCTCCAATCAATATAAATATGAATAAGATTCCTATTTATCATGATTTAAAAAGGCGTTTGATGCGCTCCTCACCATAAAGAGTATAAAAACCACCTTAAGGCTTACCCTTTATGGTCAAGTGAGGTTTATAGTTTTTTCTACCTGAGACATGTCTCGAGGTTTTTGATGTAACACCTCGTATTAATACATAATACAAGTTAAAAAAAAAAATCTACAATATAACTAACATAACTTATAGCATGATTTAAAATTTCATGTTAGAATTGCAAGAGTCGAGCAATAGAGAGTGAGATAATTGTTTGTAAATGAGTAGGTTGTGATTATGAATGAGATGATTCATGATTACAATGTAGGGGTGTCAATATTTGACACGACCCGAAAAATTTCGGATTTGGATCAACCCGTTTATCAAATGGGTCGGGTTCGGGTCCAAAAATATGACATGTTTCTAAATCGGGTCGGGTTCGGGTTAACCCGGCAACCCAAAGTTGACCCTAGTTTGAGTTCGCTAGCCAGCTTTTCATGCCACGTATGCACGTCACACACCCGTGGGGAGTTGATCTCGCCCAATCTAGCATCCGCACATCACGCGCCCAGCAACCCCAACTGCCTAGCCCTCCCCCTGTCCGCCTTCACCACGTGACCACGCCGCAGTGCCATCACGCGGCCAGCAGAGCCAGGCAGGCCAGCCACTCATGCGACACGCCCACACGAGTTTCGCCCAACCCATCAAGCTCCTCGCCTAACTCGCATATGCTAAGCCCTAGCCTGTCACGGGTGCCTCGGCATGGTCACCCCATGCCTTGCCTAATCAGCCTTCACGCTTCACCACGACGTCTGATGTCATGAACCCAACCATTTAACAAAATTCAAAAAATAGTGGGTTGGGTAGTGTCGGGTCAACCTGGTAATCGGTGCGGGTCGGGTTAGGGTCAACCCATTTAAACCCGGGTCAATCAGAGTTCGACCCCTGAACCTGACCTACGGACCCATTTTGACACCCCTATTACAATGTGTATCATGATCCAAGGTGTATTTCAAGTTTTTAGTGAGTTCTTATGTTGAATTTATTTTTATACTCATTATAGATTAATATTCAAGTCAGGTTTTTTTCCTTCTTACATGATTTTTGTGATTTATGATGATGATCGAACTTAATATGACGATGTTTAAGATAAAACATCTCAATCCTCAATTTCAACATCTTTAAACCATGCTATTCGTTGCAAATATTGGATTGATATCTTCAAAGAAATGATCATCTTTTGTAAAGATTATAGGATCGTTTGTTGACTTTTAAAGAGCTTGAAATTAATTTTGTCTCCAAATAATTCCTTGTCACTATAATATAAATAGAATCTTGGATATAAGAGTTTGGCACTACAATATAACATAACAAGAAGCAAACAAAGAAAACAAAGGAAGAGAGAGAGTGAGGTGGAGTCATTGGAGACAAAAAAAGGATAGAGTATTTGGGAAAGGGGGAATTCGAGGAAGAGGTGCTACTATTTCCAATTCTAGCAAGAGAAGGTCTCATCAAGGCTGGGAGAACTTTCTCATTTGGACTTTCTCCATATCCAGCTCTAATCTTTGCAACGTCTTGTTCTCTCTCAACTATTGTCATGGACATAATGGTATTTGTCATTCCCTCTAATTTTGTTATAATGGGCAAGATGTTCATATACTACTTTTAAAGTTTACAAAATACTTCAATCTCTACGTAGCCATGGACAGATAAATCTCATCTACGAACATAAACTTATGTGTCTTGAGTTCGTTTTCTCTTTATCGTATGATTTTTTGCTTGAAGCTTTAATTATATCCTAATGAAATTGATGCCTAATTGCAAGTATATAAATTTTTTTTCACCACTTGTCAAATACACTTCAAAGGCACCAATCCATGTTAAATTAAAAATATAAAGCATCACTCTTAAGCTTAAATATGAAAAATAAAATAAAATCATTCTTATGTCATTCTAATTTACTAAACATAAGGGAAGTAGCATAATACCTCAAAATATGGATGAACATATTTTACCTTTGCAACCTCATAAATGGTTGTAATAGTTTCTTTTTATGCTTACAAGGTATGCTAACTTTATCTATAATCCTTATAGAAGGCATCTACAAATCGAAAACCCATTGTCACACTAATTAAAGGCCTAAACATAAATAAGTCCAACTATGATGGCTTTATTTATGTCAGATCAGTGGCCATACCTCACATCACAATTGAATGGCTAGGGTCATATCTATCATTATTATCAACAAAACTAGTGGAAGTACAATCTTGACAATGATGATGTTACGAGAAGAGAACCAATCATATACACTAGAAGAAATTTAAGAAGAGTAAGATAGAACTCAAATTTGTATATGTATGACAGGAAAGATATCAATAGGGAAGAAAAAAGCTGCAAACATTAGATAACTAAAAGAAATAAGCCAATGTAAAAAGCTTTTTGGTGTGTAAAATCAATGTTGAAATATAACAAAATCCAACTAAATTATGGGTCTAACCAAATTTTAATTATTTAAAAAAAAAAAATCAAACTTCGGGCAACTAATTGAGCGATTTGAATTGAGCCATCACCTCATCTAGAAGTAGATCTAACTTACCAATAAGGTCGAGTCTTGTAGTTCAACGAGCCTAAAAACATACCCATAAAAGAAATGCTAACAGGGATAATTAAAAGCACTACATAAATAAAAATGCACACATGTAGAGATGTTAAGTTGAAATTTAATTACTAGTATGTTTATTGTTTCTTTCTGCAAATCCTGTTAATCACACCTGCACAAAGATCCAATTAAACTATTCAAGCACATGTATTTTGCATGGTTACAAAGAACAAGAAAATTTACCAAATTCAGGACCATAATATAGCAAACGAAACAATATGATGTCTTCATCTAGCATTACCACAAACACAACCATATAATTATGAAACAATTCAAACTTCAAAGAAAAAAAATGCACAAAGTATGAAACTCCCACCAATGTGGATCTAGAGAGAGTTAATTTATGTAGTCTCATAAAAGAAGATTCATTAAGGGAAAAAACCTCATAAATAAGGATTTACTAAATAGTGGGCTCTAGCATACAAAGTTTTATGCTCTGAAATATATAAAAGAAACAGACACATTAGCAGAAGGACATTAAGATGTTTCTTTCTATATAGAATGAAAATAAAAGCAGATATTAAGGCTATGAAATAATTCATTATTTATATGGAAGCTAAACATTGTTGACAATGAAATAAAGGAACTTCAAACAGAAAAAAGAAAAAAATGAAAAACAATGATACTCGTTAAGGGAAAGAGAAGCGCTTGCATGAAACAAAAGGCACAGAGCACCTGCATCCTTGCACAAATAACCAGACAAAATAGGAGTTTGAAATTTATAGCAAATCAGCCAGCAGACTGACTGTTGGAAAAAAAAGTTGAAAACAGGCTCAAATGGCAAGTTCATCAAGAGAAACTCAGTTTAATGACTAATTAACTGTATTATACTTTGAAAAATCATAAGAATAAATAAATGGAGAAACTGAGTAAGTACTTCCAGAATGGACATTAAAGATCAGCAGGTTCAAAATCATTTCAACGTAAATGTTTATTTCGATTGTTTTCTCAAGAAATTTGATGTTGTTTTCCACCATGCAACAATATTTTCAATGTCCTTGAGCAAATAGACATCCAGACAACCATCAGAGACGCATTCTAACACAAAGAATGCAACCATGGAAATGTATAAATAAGCCTAAACTATTTTTAGTATGCTATAATAGGGTTAGATTTTTAATCTGTACAACTTTTTTTTTATTGATCCTAACGTTTACATCATCATTAGCTTTATCCTAACCATTCAGAGTGCGCTTTATGAATTCTCATTTTATATTCATTGATGGTGAGGGATGCCTGAGTATTAAACATATTAATTGCAAATCATTTTGAACAACTTCTACTAATACAATATTATGTCTAAACATTTTCCTTCATACTCCAATATTTTCCTACCTAATAAATGTATGTTCTACCCTTGCTAGCACATATTCAATCCACTTGTAAGAACCTTAATTTCATAATTAATTGATGCTTAATTTGTAGTTAGACCCTTATTTGAACTAATTTTAGGCTAAGTAGTTTGCCAAGTATTCTAAATTTCTAATGGATACACATGCATAATTTCCTGTTGGTTGGGTAGTAAGATCTTTCATACCCATGTTATGGGTAGTTGACCTACGTTACTCAATAGTAGCACTCACTAGAGTGGTTGTACTCATTGTCGAGAAGTGGTATCCAATTAATGTCTTGACTTTAAAGACTTCATAGTTGCCAATGGAGTGACCTATTCCATATGTCAAGTAGCTTAGTAGTGTCGTCCTTTGTGGTCGGCGTGTGATCACCTTCCTTTGATGACTTATTATAAGAAGCGACCTGGTGCAGCAACAACTTGCCTCCATGGGAGCTAAAGATGCCATAGCTATAAGGAGATATTGGAATAAAGCATGAGTAATGGATTCTATTCATTGGAGGCAACAACTTGCGAGGGGAGCCTAATGAGTTCTTCTTCAGCGCTTTCTATCTACACCTTGTGGTGGGGACGATTCTAACTCATTAGATGTCATTCGTGCTGGGGTTTATTGCCTAATTAATTCTTAAAAAGTAGCTATTTCCACATGAATAACTTGTCAGAAACTTAATATTCGATATATTACAGAATGGATGGAATGCATGATTAGTATTGTTCTATTTTTATTGATTATATTAAGTTGTTTATGGACTAACTCCTTGATCATGTTGTCTGTTTTATTACAAGCTATTTCCCACGGAGTATATCCCTGATCCCTCCCAGTTCTTTCACATGCAAAAAACAGATGTTATCAAGGGTATGGTAAGGTGAGAAGGTAGCTGCCGTGCAGAGATTTGTTGATTAGTTTGGCATCTAAGTGGTGCTTGTTGAGCGAACTTCTTAGTTAAATAAAATACACTTCTCATGTTGATTTCACAGCAATTTGTCTTCATGTATCTAAAACTTTCTACAAAGAGGTTCCTTCTACTTTACCTTGGCATTAAATTAAAAAAATGTCTTATAAAAAATGTTTAACATGTTTAATAAGCTATATTTACTTGTTATGCAATGTATGATGCCAAGCTTGTCCTTAAACATTATTGATGCATCTTGGAGCATGCTCTATACTTAGATAGTGAAGCTTGAGTGGCTACAAGCTTTGTCAAAAGGTTGGCATCAAAGTGCACGGTGTTGGAGTTCTATTTAGTCGAGGTGACTATTTGGCATTTGCTACCCAATTTCTCAGACCGAGTTGGCTCATTGAACTTGAATTCTCAAGCGATTGAAGCAATGTCAATGCAACTCAATTCAGTTTCAAACCCTATAATTGAATTTGGGCCATGATAAAATGGTATGAGAGCTAAAAAAAAAAATGGTATGAGAGCTAGTCCTCCTCTATGCCATCCCAAATTCAAAAAGGGTGAGCAAATGACGGCAAGAGTGTAGCAATGATAGAGGACAAGGACAAGGTGCGACTCTTAATATTCTTCAAAGATGCAAGTGGAGGAGGAATGAAATAAATCATACAATCTAAAATGGCAAAAAGTTATTTAGGATTGTTCATTTTGGTATCTATTAGTATAATTGTTAGATTAGACCTTTTAGCAAACATTAGTTGAAGAGCACAAGTAATTTAAAGAATCACACGAGTCAAAAAAAGGTCAATCTACATTACATACAAAAAAAGAAAAAAAAAAGTAAGAGAATATTTAAGAGGGATCATTCCCGCTCATTGAAGGCTCGTCACCATCCCATGAATATGAGTTTGAAGTTGTGCATTTGGATCGCTCTACAACGATGGAATGAGAGGGTGCTGCTATGCCGCCACAGGAAATGCAATTTGAACACAACAGAAGAGTTCTCTCCACCACGATAGATCGTCAAATCAACCGCAGCCACCGTCTTTTGCCTATTTCGTTTTATTCCTTGAACCGGAAAATGCACATACTAACTTGATTACCATGAGAATGGTGCAAATGTTTGATGTTTTTTATAGATGACGCATTAAAATCTCAAATTCTAATGATGAAATTTTAATAAGATAAGAATGAAACAAAAAAATTTGAACCTAAACTTTCTTTAAATTCTAACTTATTTGATTCTTAATTGTGCAATTAAACCCTTCATCAAACCGCCAAGTATTCTAGTCAGTAGATCCTAGTAGATTTTCTGTTAGCTAATAGGTTGATCTATACGCCAGTCATCATTTTTTTCCCTCTTGTCGTATATAAATTTCCCTTCATTGTTTTTTCCACATTCTAACCAACGTGATCAGCAAGTTTGCTACAAACATCCTTTTGCTTGACAGTAGCTTGTTCACTAGCAGAAAAGAATAGCAACAACGACACCAACAGCAAGGCATCAATAAAACATTCGTAGTAAGGAAATAGAGTAATTGTCAAAAGCAATCCAGCTACAACTTTATCAAACAAAAATGATTTGCACTACAATATCTAAAGAGAGAACTTGAGATTTACACTACAGCAGGTAGAATTACCAATTAAAGAACAATTAAAAAGGCCAAAGAAAAAATGAAAAAACTGCATCACATGGATCAAAAGATCTAGTATTACATCTAATGTGACTGGAATAAGAAAGCTATTGTGTTGTTTACTAAGGTCATCTCTGGCAGCAGCAAGCAAAGAAAATTTGGTGAGCGGAAAGATAGTTTGTAAGCGGCATAATTGGACTGCAAATCAACAAACCCATATAACATGGTGAGGATCTCCATCTTATTTATCTAGTTGTAAGGTTGTGTAGAAATTAAAAAAGAAAAAGTAGGAAAAAAATTTTGTTCAGCTAAACTAAACATGAATGACCTTGTCTTCGAGTATTAGAAACTAACTAATTTTGATTGGCTAATCTAAACATTAATGTTCTTGCCGTCAAGTATTAAAATCATAGAAGCAAAACAAAAGAAACCTTTGTGCTATTTAGCAAAAGAAAAACTAAAATAAGCTATACAAGATCTTCCTATTTTTATTTCAAAGTATTTCAAAGTAATAACTACGTCATCAGATTCTACCATGCAAACGTATCTCAAAAACATTTAAGATACTTCAATATATCAGGCAGGATGGAAAATTAAGCCTTCATTACATGATCCCTAAACTGAAACGGGACAAAAAACTACAAACACTTGATTTCGTCAATCACTCATCTAAAGTCAAATCAGCATAAAAGAAAATCACATAAAATGAAACTGTGAATCCATCAGCTGCAATTAAACCGACACACAGTCACATATCATTACGCTGTCAATTAAAAAAAATTATGACATTAAAGACTCCAATATAAGTCCTTTATCGCAATAAAAGCACTTCTACGTACAAAACAACAAAAACTTTAAAAAGCATAAGCACTTGAATTAAAAATGACATCAGAACCTAACTCGGCATTGGAGATCTTGCGCCAGAACATAAAACCTGGCATAAACAATATAGAATCTCAAATCCCACAATATCATACTTATGAAAAAGCTCGAAAAATGAATAAACCCTAATATCAAACTGTAGGCCTAGGAAGTAAAGATAAACCCTAAACCCCTGAACAAGCACAGATAATCCAAGGGGTTAAACAACCTAACGAATCCCTAACCAATCGATAAAAAAATTTACTAACACAAGCCGGAAACCCAAACACATCGCCCAAAAGCCAGCTACCATATACGTCAACAAGGGAAGAAAAACGGACTTTTGGACTACCATCCAAAGATCAAGATCGACGGATAAGAGCTAAAACACAACAAAAAAGACGAACGTAGCTCGGAGACGAAACGCAACACTTGAAAGGGTGAATGGGGCAAACGATTCAAACCAGCTTCTAAAATAACATCAGATCGAAGAAAAATGCGGTGAGAAGAGTCTCACCCTCACAACGGCAATGGCGACGCGGACCTGGGCTCCCCTTCGGAGATACCGCAACAGCTCTCGGAGCAAGAGCGGCACGGAGAGAAGAAGAAGAGGCGAAGCGAGGAAGAAGGAGAAGAGACTTCGGTGCTTCTTAAAAAAGGGAGGGTTTTTAAGAGTTTAGAAAAAAGTTTCGCTGTTTCCTGCCCAGCTGGATCCTATGCAAGTACAGATATTACATAGCGAAATCTCCTCCGTTTAATTACTTTAGAATGCGGTCGGGAGAAAATTGAGGTTTTAATGAGGAAAATCTTAGCTGTTTAAAATAGATTGGACGGCTGAGATACGAAGATACGTTTATATGGGTTGGTAACATGAGGATTGATGCGACTAAGATGTCATTTTAAATTTTTAATTAAAATTAAGTTATCTTTAGGTGGGAATATATGACTCTTTTTTTATTTTATTTATCATTACATTTGAAATTATAGAATATGCACATTAACTATTTTATTGGATAAATATACTAAAAAAAATTTAAGGGTCAATATAACCTCGCTTTTTTGGGAAATTATTCTATACTGACGTAGAGCGCCGAGATCAACCAAAATGTCTACGTCATCTCCTGATGGGTACATAGCTCCGTAATTCTCGGTACTGCGCCTTAGTACTACTCAGTATTGTGGCTCAGTACTGTTGACATGGCGCATTCTAGCTAGACTCCGAACGATGATAAAAATATAAAATTTTGGATAATAAGAAAAATAATCAGCTAAATATATTTTAGATTACTAAGAAAAAAAAAAAACTAACATAATAGGAAGGGGCAAATAAAGTCTTTAAGTACCCAAAAAGAATATAAAGCATAAACTATAGCCCATATGATGGTTCTTAAGTTTTAAATAAGAAATAAAATTTAATTAATCTTTACCATTAACTTAATTATATTAGCTTAAATAAAATACATTAAAAACAATATCAATTATTCTAATTAAAATTTATAATTTTGGCATGATAATAATGAATAATTTTCATGTTGATCTTTATTGATTTAATATTTAAACAAATTAATATAATGTTTTAATTGATTTTGCTAAAGCAAAATTTGAATAAAAAACAAAAGCAAAAATAAAAATAGTTAAAATCACAAACTTGTGGGAAATGCCGAATTAATTAAATCAAGCCTTGAATTTCAAATTTGACCCACAAATATATATTTTTTTAATTTCAATAATTTCTTAATTTCGACCATTTCAAAATTGTTGAGTATTATAATAAAATCAAATATTAAATTAATAGCATGCAAGTCCTTATTATTTTATAAAATTAAATGTACCTTGAAAATTACAGCACAATAAACTATAGTTATTTTACCCATAGAAGCCTGCATATCATTTTCCATATGTTTTGAAGTTAGTAGTGTAATCTAGTCTAGTCTAGTTCATGCTTAATCGAGCTAAGTTCGTTTAATTTATAATGAGCTTGAGCTAACACGAGTGAAAAATATGAGATTCAAGCTCAATAAAAATGATCGAGATTGACTTCTTTTGAGATTTGATATATTATTTTGAACCCCAAAATTAAACTAATATAACCATCAATGTTATAATCAATATTAATCAAGCCAGCTCAACGAGCTGAGTCACGTTAAGTTTGAGCTCAAACTCGTACAATACATGAGCTTGAATTTAAATTCAAATTTAATTAATGAGATTCAACACATTGCTACAAAAGTTTTTAAGCTATAAGCAAATGACAAATTCAATTGTTTTTTTTTTTTTTTTTTAAATAGGATGGGATATAAATAAGCAACATATGAAGAGAATTTAACCATCTCTACAATAATTATATATATTTATTTTTTTAATACAGCATATAATACAACAAAAAATACTATGTAATTCGAAAATTATAAATTTACAAAACTAACCGCCAACTACCTTCATTTACAATAATTACGAGAAATTATTGTGTGTAGCTCTTGCGTGGATTCCAATGAAATCAAGCCACTTGGCTTATACACACCCTATATTTTGTATACGGGTGTGTACATGCCGATAAATTATTCTGTGCGGAAATCAGACAGAACGTCATAAGGAGATCAACTAGAATGTCCCACGTCAATGGTGCCGAGCTGCGGTATCGAGCGCAAGAGTGCTGTGATGTATTTTGATTGATCTCCGAACAAAATTTGACGTCCGCACAGAATAAATAGTCGTATAAGCCACGCAGCTTGATTTCATTGGAATCTAAAGGCAAAGCTTCATCTAGGCTACGCACATAATACTTTTCTCATACAACCAACAACATACCAAAAAAATCTAAACATACATTTTTATATCATGCTAAATTCTCAACGAGTTGACAGTGCACAGAGACACATAAATAGAAAATATTTGAATGATAGGCCTGCCATTTTCCCTATTATCATATAAGTCCAATGAAGCATCCCTCAAATTTGCTGCACTTTTATTACATTTTTTAGGTGCTTTTGCAAAAAGACAGTAAAAAGACAACAAATATTTAATATTTATTAAATAATTAAATATTTATTGCGCTTTTACAAAATGTCAAAAAAATGGTAGTAAAAACGCATTCATTATTGAATATTTACTGACCTTTCGCAAAAGCGCAATTCTCTCCATTTGGTGTAGGCACAGAATAATTTCTCCCTCTCACAACCATGAAAAACCAAACCAAACATAACGCAAAAGAATGTGAGAACCTTCATTAGAATGGTTCGATAAGGAAAATTCTAATTGTTTGATCTAAAAATAGATAAAATTTGTTGAGCTCAAACAGAAAACAAACGCAGGTACAGACGCTCATTAAAGAAGCTAAGGATATGGAATGGTTCAATAAACAAAGTTTCATTTAACATAACTGACAAAACTGGAATCCAGTAGAAAGAACTCTATTCAATACTTGATTGGGGCTAGGATTTCAAGTTCAGAACCGAGTTTCTCTTCAGCTGTTTTCTCAGCCTTGAGCCGCAGCTTTCCCAACTGCTTCTTCCTCTCGTATGCAACCTTTGCCCGCTGCTTCCTCTTCTCTTCCAACTCCTAATTTCAATACATAGGAAAATTTATTCTACAATGATTAGAAGTAAATTACTAAATTTTAATCAAAAATATGTTCAGCATTAATGTGTTAAGCTTGAATCATATGTGATTTATACAACTAGAGATTTTATTAAAAGCCTACAAGCACTTCTCCAAGACTTCGTTTGGGATGGCTTTCTTATTGCTTTCTAAAGCTTCGTTTGGGACGGCTTTCTTACTATTTCTTAAAGCAGTTTTTTAGTTTAAAAAATAGAAAATTTTTACTTGAAAGCTGTTTTAAAAAGCAGTAAGAAAGCCATCCCAAATGAAGCTTAAAGCTGCTTGATAATACAAAATTTTCTAGTTTAAAATTTTTTTTACTAAAAGCTGTTTAAAAAAACAGTAAAAAAAACTTTCCAAATGAAGCCTAAATCTTTGAGCTCCTCTAAGTGAAATATGGCATTTTATTCAGATTTTATACCGTAGTTTTCAACAATCATTAAGAGGGAAGTTGAACCACTAAAAAGAAGAACAGCTTCTACTTCAAAGAATAAAGAAAATGACTTAGATTGAGTAGGAGTTCTATAGTTGCAGAGTGCAAATAAACATCCAAGAGAAATCTCAGTTACTAGAAGCAAACAAGTTCAAAATGCTGGGATCAGTAAGCCAAAGTAGACACTGAAAGTCATGTCCAGATAAGAGTCTTTCATAATATCAAATGTATAAGAAAATATAAAGATATCAAATATAAAATATAACTAAAATGTGCATCAATTGGGAAATTTCACCTGTTGTGAATCAGGCCGATCTGAATCGGTACAGTTTGGAAAGATAAATCCCCATTTACCAATATGAAATAACTCAAAACCAATAAACCAAATATCCTCCTTAGATTATCTTGTAAGTGATGACAAGGCTCTAGACAGAGAAAATGAAGATGGCAAAGAGTAAAGCTCGAGCTACTCCAAAAGATTTTTAAAAGAAATACAAGATAACAAGAACACCCTTTCCTAATCTCTTGGATTTTACTGTTTACCTCATGTAACCAAAATTCCGTATATTAATAAAATGAAAGAATATGATTCAGATTACATATAATCACCTAGTATTCAACTAAGGGATAATTAATTTCCTAAGTTAGAAGTTTGCAAATTACAAAGTTGACCTTATGTGCTTGTTTTTTTGTGCATCTCTTAGTTGTGCATTAAAAAATCCTAGATTAAAATTTGGACCATTGTTTAGCCATTTGAGGAATTTTTAAATATCATCATAAGCTGAATTCAAAATATTTAAGCTCAGTTTAACAAATTCTCATTCATTCCTATGATAAACTGTAAATACAAAAATTAGTCAAGTTTCTTTGAAGAAATGTAAATCTACATTTTTTCTTTATTCTTTTAAATTATTTATATCAAGCAACTTTCTACTGCATCTTTATTATTCATTATATAAGTCCTGACCATCTAAATCAATTTTAAACAGAGTTTGTCAAAGTAATAATCACCACAAAACCTTGAGATTTCAGAGGGAAAACCACAAGCGCATGTGAAGTTGCAAAAATACACTAATAAGGTAAAATCCATTAAGAAAACTAGCATCATCATCATCAACACAACAACAATAAGCATTTATCTCACTATGTTGGTATGCTACACGAATCATTTTTCTCCATTGTGCCCTATTAAAAATTAAATTCTCATTTAAATCTAATAAAAAAAGGTCATTTCTAATATTTTCTAACCAAGTCTTTTTAGGCCTACCTCTACCTTTCTTAACATAAGTCAAATCTAATACATCTATTTTCCTAACCGGGTCATCAGAATGTTGTTGTTTTAAGTGAAAAACCATCTAAGGCGACTCTCTCTAATCTTATCTTCCCCTGGAGCTACTCCAACCTTTTCACGTATATGATTATTTCGCACCACACATTGCACACTAGTAAAACTTAACAAATGCGTTGGCTATGTTTGGTTCGCAACTTTCATAATATTAAAAATTAAATCAATACAACTTTCCACTGCTATAACCAGTTGCTGCTGAGTCCATGTAAAACGTCCAATAAGTTTTGAATTCATTTACTTGTTATCATTTTTAATCCTCTTACCTAAAAGATAGTTTGTTTTTTTACATGCTTAAATTATGCATGTGATCACAATATTTTCTAATTTAAACTAAATATTTGTAATGCAGAGAGTGAAATAATATAATTGTAAACAAGATATCAAAATGAAGTGAAATAAATTCTTTGGATGATACACAATACGCATTGAGAAGTGGAGATAAAAGAATAAAGTTTTGGACTTTAAACTAGAGGGTCCAAAGAACATAAGCAATATGTTACAATTATTGGAAATCATGAGAAATAGGTAGACATGATGATATAAGTTAATTTCAAAGATGTTATTGCAAATGTGGATATAGAACCAAAGCAGGCAGGCGGGAGACAAATATTCCTAAGGCTACAAGTATGATTATAGCATAACGAAAATAGCTAACGTAAAAAAGAGGGATTTACATACATACTACTTTATTTCATGTTATTTATATATCTAACACCTAAAACTTTAATGTTACATGACTGCCACAGATAGAACAAATATGGATGCATTGAATGAAATATTAAAGTTTATAGGGTGGTATGGGTGATAAGAATGAAATATATGAGTGATATATTTGATATTAAAATTTTATATGAGTGGTAGGAATGTAATATTAAAATTTGAGATGTTAAATATGTAAATAGCATGAAATAAAGTGATATGTATGTAAATCTAAAAAAAAAAACAATCATTATGCAATCAATATATCAAAAGCCAAAATTAAAAAAGAACTTCAAATATAAGGTATTTAATCTCACCTTGATGGTATCATAGTAGCCCCATCCGACTTCACTAGAAAGCTTACCCAAAAGGCAGTACTTGTGACCTGCTTGGAGCCTCAAAACCCTACGAGCAACCATTATCACAGAAAAAAGCTCCCCAGGTTAATTTTAACATCAACAAATCAATTATAGCATAGAAAACAAACAACTTCATCTGAATATCTCACTTCAGTGCATCAGGGATCACCATCCGCTTCTTCTTGTCATAAGGCGGAGGTATACCTTCGTAGGCCTTGAGCCTCGCCAAAGCTGCAGCTCCTCTCTTAGTCTTATGCGGAATCATCCTACACAAAACGAAAAAAAAATTATTTTTTCCACGCAAGAAACCAAAAAGAAAAAATAATGAATTCAACAAAATGGAACAGAAAAACAAGTGTGAGATTCACCCGCGGATAGTGCGCCATAGGATCTTAGCTGGGGCGCGGAAGTGGATCGGTCCATGCGAAGGCTTAGTGTTCATGCGCTTGCGGAGGAATCGCAAAAACTTCATCTTCTGCCTAACGAGTCCTCCTGACATGCAAATCTCCTCGCAGCGGACGACCACGATGTGCTGTCCATTGAGGAGCTCTTTCGCAATTATAGAAGCAAGGCGACCGAGCATGTGGTGGCGCGCATCCACCACGATGTGCCGCTTGCTGATTGCAGATCCGGATACCATTTGTTCTTAGCTTTACCCTTCTGCTTTCTCTCCGTGTCCGTCGAGACCGACGCTAGGGTTAGGGTTTCTACTACGTAATAGAGCCGCCCCTCACTGAAGAAACAGCGCGTTTGTTCTTGGGATTTATAGTGGCTGGTTTGGGTACCTTAGCGGGTTGGGTTGGGTTGGAAGCAGATGTGCCGGTTTGGTCTTTGCTTAGATTATTTTTGTTGAAAAATGAATGGAGAAATGATTCTTATATAATGCTATTATTATTAATAAAAAATTTATTTCATATTTTATTGGAATAAAATATTTATAATTATATAAATTTATTCATTTTAATTGTTATATATATATATATATATATATA